GTTTTGTTCGGGGACCCTGACCCTAGCCTCTGACTCAAAAGTCTGACCCACGAGGCAGTGATGGAATGTAGGGTTTTCTTTGGGGACCCTGCCAGGAGCCGACAACTTAGTAGTCTGACCTGCTCGGCTGCAGGGGGTTGGCCTAATCCGAGGGCGCAGGGAATAAGGCATTACTGTCTCATTCCTGATGCGGCTGCGCACAGCAGGTGCCTTTTGAGCAGCACCGGGCTCTTTGGCTTTAAAAGTATTTCGACCGTATTGGATAATGCGCCGGCGGTCACGGTCAACCGTTGGGCGATCGGAATGTGCGGTTTTTAGGGCCGACCTTTTCTAACCCGTCCTTTCTCGGGGGAAGGCAGCATCGCTGCTTCCATAAATATGGACATCCTGGTCGCCTGGGGGAAATACCTTACTGCCTTCACACTCCTGTCGCAGAGGACAGTACGACTTTACCCCCAGACCACCTCGTACCACGATTACTCGTAGTGCGGGGTCTCGCTGCTCGTGGTCTGGCTGCTCCCCTTTGGCCTTCCTGGCATGGTTATACCTTGTGGAACGAAGTTCCAGCCAGTGTAGCCCGCGGGATCATTGCAGCACTCAAGCCCGACCACCACGCCAGGGTGGCAGCTTTAGGTCGGCACCCTTTCGTTGCCTAACTGTCATGCCACCAAGATGCAGGAGGGCTGAGATACTGCCAGGTTGCGCAAGCCTAGACAGGAGAAATCGAGAGGCAGAGGTCGAGTTCGAACCGTGTATTTTCCGGTCAGTAAATTCGCGATGTAACCACTGAGCCATCTCGCCCCTGGGAAAAAAGCGAAAACTGAAATGATAAGTGAAAAACGGCTCATTAATTGACTCGCAAAAGCGCCGACTGGAAAGATGGCCGAACACTTCCAAGAACAGTTTGGGTGGCCTCCTGCAACACAACCTCTGGAGGCAGTTCAAACGGGCGAATGGAATGTAAACCTGAATCGCCTGTCAGGAGAAGAAATAAAGTACAAAATATCCGTACTGAAACGTAAGAAGGATCGGTATGTCTGCTTCTAGCCCTCTTCAAAGGCGGAGAATACTGGTGCGACACGGAGTGAAGAGAACGTGCCTGCAGAATGGGGCATACGGACAGTTATCTCTATCTATCTTCAAAAAGGGTACGCGGGTGCTGTGCGAAAACCACCGTGGCATCCGTCTGGTAGCTGTAGTGTCGAGGGTGCTCTCTGGTGTTATACTTAGAAGGCTGACTGAACACAGGGAGACCGATGCGTGAAAACTAAGCTGGGTTCCGTCCTGCAAGAGGATGCGTCGATTATATTTTCACCCTACAACAGTTTCTGGAACAATGTAACTGATTCCAGCAACCAACAATGATTGTCTTGACCCTGCGGAGCGTCACGCACTACGGTAGTGTCTGTGGAGTATATGTCCCCATATATTATTGATCCTCCTTGAGGCGCTGTGCAACTCCCGCAGACGTGTGAAAGTCTACGGGAGATTCTAGCCTGAGTTCCAAAAATCAAGTGGGGTTAGTCAAGGCTGTCCTCTCACACCTTTGCTCTTTAACTTAGTCACTGATACGATTATGGAAGACTCACTGCCTGCGGGGTCGAAGTTCTCTCAGGGTATTTGCTCACAGGTGATGAGTACGCAGGCGACGTAGCTCTTCTTCTGACGCCGTCGTACTACAAACACGACTAGCTATTGACCAACCAGTGTCGCACAGACATCTTCCAGTATAGCTCAACAAGTCAGGGAAGCGCACAAACCGTCAGGCCATTGTAAGGCCCAGATTTCAAAGCGAAGACAATTTTTCACGCACCAATCTTCCGACTCATCTAAGAATCAAACGTTGGACAGTTGCATGAGTAATCATTCGGGACAGGCAACTAGCTAAATATGGTCTGCAAAAATCAACTCGATAATGAAATTGGGTTTGTCTGATTAAAAAAAATCGTTCAGCTGTAGCACCCTTTCGGCGCCTAACTGCCATGCCACCCGAAAGTTGTACGAGATCTGGGATACTACCAGGTTGCCCAAGCCTAGATAGGGGAAGTCGAGAGCCAGAGGTCGGGTCAGAACCACGGACCTTCCTGTCAGTAAATTCGCGCTCTAACCACTTGGGCCATCTCGCCTCATCTTGCCTGATAAGTGCTAGGCAGGAATCCACACCGATCCCACTATACCGCACGTCTTTAGGCGCTGCTACGGCCGAGAAGACTGGCCCGCTGAGGAAAATACCGTTACTACAATAAGTGACAAATCCATTTCAACTCAACAGACGAAGTGACCGTTCGCCTCCAACTTTGTTGTCAAGACAGACCGGGCAACTATCCTGGTACCCGGTAACGGTTCAACTAAGCCGAGTCCATGCATCTTACGTTATTCTGACCTGAAGACATGCACTTTCCGGAAGACAACTTTATACTCTACGTCACTAACGAATTAATTGAAAGTAAAGGATATTAGTTAACGGGAAACTAAATGCCCGAAGCCAAACGGAAACTCGACTGTCCACACAATGCAGAAAGGAATGGTCGCATAGTCGTGTAGAACAGGGTGACTCACCTAGGTATATGAACCTGTTCTACCTGGTTATCAGTGGAGGTAGAGACCCGGGAGGTCTTGGACTTCTGTTTGCTTGAAACAAGTTTTTCTGAACTTAATGGTGCTATATCATCATCCTCATCCGTTTCGTTAAGGGTAACAACCAATTGTTTCTGGTTCAGCCGATCAGCCAGTCGGAGTTTGGATGGCCAGGTGGTGCCTGCTTCTACGACACGCGAGGATTCATCCTGTTGGTGTGGATAAGAACCTGAGAGCTCCAGATCACCCTCGATCAGTTCGACCATATCTTCTTGATCACCGAAAGTATCGTAAATCACGTCATCATCATCGGTGAGGACTGGAGCAACCTGTGACATTTGCGGCTGGACTATTGGTCCGAGTCTGTCTTTGGCGCTGCACTTTGATGGTCGGCTATACGGGAACATACGGCGAGATCCAAGACGGGACTTTACATCAGATCCAATACGTCTCTCGGGAGACCACTTCACCTCGACAGAGCTATCAGGAACAGACAATGTGCGAGTAGATTCTTTCTTCCTGCTACCTGGAAGTGTGACGTAAAACTGTGTGCTATCTGCTGCCTGCCTAGTAGAAGATACCTCTGTCCTGAAAAAGATGGACAATGGTAAGACAGAATAAGTTATAAAACAACAGTCCAATAACAGTAGTGAACTCACTCAGGTATAATTGTTACGTTAGACGCTACTGCGTATCAGTGTCATTTCTTCAAAGGTTTCATCCGCGGCCACAGTAGTTGGGACTATCATAAGTTGATTCAGTAGGGCAATAACGCTATTTTCTCAGCTTAATTCTCGATCTGAACATTCTAAGCTCGCGTTCCCGTCAAAATAACCACCAAAGGTGCACAACGTGTATTAACGGTTAAAACCGGGTCAAAACACATATACAGCGACAGTAACTAAAGTGTGTGCGGCAACAAAAATCTACCAATTCTGACGCTTTCGGGGTGAGCGATTGGCAACTAGCATTCGACGGACACTGGATCATGACTGACTTTTGGGTGAGGCTTTCGGCCAATCAGAGCTCGCCTTGATGCTGAACCGCAAAGGGCCCGATCTCTTGGCCGATCGTATGCGGGATTGGTTTCTTGACTGAACGAGCGTCTAACTCCGAGCGGTAAGGCGGTATCGGTGCAGAATTCCGCCTAACAGGTAGTGGTGGAAAGATTCGCCGGGATAAATATGCTAGGGCGGTTTATCAGAAACTTGGTTGCTGGTTTCATAGTTTCTATTCGGAAAGTTTTAACTACGCATCGTTTGCAAGACTCCGGCAGTACGTTCACTAGTTTGGTCGTGGAAACGTTGATAGTCCGACAAATCAAATCACGTCTAAATCTCGAGACGATCCTTCATAAAATTCTTCTCATCCTCTACATGCTGTACTAAGGGATGGTCCTCCCAAACGTCCCTTGAAAAACACCGGCGAACTTTTGTTCACCAGAACCTCTACCGACAAAAACTTCATAGTACCTTATTTGGCTCGGTTGAAGACTTCGTCCTTGGCTTTCAGGTGTGAACTCTGAATAGTACGCATTTATATCCTTATACAAATACGTTGAAACACCCAACTGAAAAATGATCAATTACGACAAGGAAGACCGATTGTTTTGTCTCGCACGAATACATATATAAAGGTGATAAGAAGCTCATTATGTCCATCATCCGCTCATACTTCTATGTGATAATATATCACGTTTTCTTTACAAGCCGTATGTGGGTGGTATTTTGATTTCTATTCTCGATCGCAACTTCAGTTTACTTTCTGATACTACCAATAAAAATAGTCTTCACTTGTGAGTGCCTCATGAGGACGAATGAAGGTATTTATAACCTGACGTCTAAATGTGGCCTGATAATGAACTATCCACCGTAAAACCATATGGAGGGATCAAGATCTACAATTTATTAGTTTCTTGCCCACTGAACATAAGCGGCTTCACGAGGATTCTGTTTTACAAAGCGGGGAATGTAAGCACCTGAGACTAATTAAGGTTCATTGAAAGCGGCGTCAGTCGTCAGCGGCTATCCACAGAGGTCCGGCATTCTTCACGGAAAACTAAGCATCTAGCACGAACTCAAATTTGTCCTAAATCGCAATTTTCCGCCTTCTCAGTTGCGCTTAGTGTCCACAACCAGACTAAGCCGAATAGTATGGCTGATCAGTCCTCCACACATACCATCTACCAATTCACCTGTAATTGTATTGAAACATACATCGGCAGGACAAACTGGTGCTCTACGTTGTGTTCGACGTCTGCGAATGAAGGTAATGCAAAATTTCACCTTGTGGCGAAATGCCTCCTTGATGTTGCGATGAAAAAGATTATCGATACCGAACTGGCGCGCTTGATGTCAGCTGAACCATGAAAAACACAAATACTCTACAGGAAGCTAAGTGTTGATAAGTCGAGACCTAAAACTCCAAGATGAGGCTGCAACTGACCGCTCTATTTAAGGCATGTCAAACACTGAGAAAAAGCATTCAGTCACAGACAGGCACTGGATCGTACAACCTGGATAATTCCTTTCGTGATCCTATGGCAGTCCTACTTCTCTGTACATTCAACAGTCAAGGATAAGAGCAACAAAAAAGCTACGCCTTATCGACTCCGTTTGACTGACAGTCTCCAAAATCTCCTGTAACTGTAAGGACTGGCCTCTCACTTTATTCCATCAACGCTGTTAATAAACCTCTTGCCGATTTCGCCACTTTCAAATCATCATGACAATCATGCAACTCGCACCATATGTTCCACGTCACCGTATCAGTCGAGGAGACTGTTGTTTTCACTCTTTCCAAGAACATTCACTCCGTCTCTTTCAGTTTACCTAAAGCCTACCCAACAAAGTTGCCAAAATCTTGCACTGACGTCTTCGC